CCCCAAAACCCCAAAACCCCAAAACCCCAAAACCCCGTTAAGGCTTCTAAAAATTGAGAACTTCAAAAATAAGTAGAGTTTTGGATTCTTAAGAGAAAGCTTATACTTTATGAGAGAGCCCAAAACTAGGTTAAGGGAGGGACTAAAACATGGAATAAAATTTCACCATTGCATCAATCCGAGAGCTTATTTCATCAGTCATGTAACATTTTTCAGAGATCTCAGCTCTCGCATTTTCTGCTTTCATGATTGCTTGCTTTGAAATTTCTTTATACATTTGAATCAAATCCTTATTAATTTGGATAGTCTTAATCACCTGGTTTATCTCGAATCCTCTCTTTTGTTCTGGGTTAGTAAAGGAATCCTTCTCTTCAGTCAATAATTTTATCTCGAAATCCAAGGCTTCAGTCAAAATCTTGGTTTGTTTAAATAAATCTCCGATGGAACAGTTCATATCTCCTATAAAGCAATTAGAATCTAAAGTATTACACTTAAATGGTAATAGATTTATCCCTCTGGTTCAAAACCGAAAGAAGAGAGCACTTACTCATAACTTTTTTGACTTCTTTCTCTGCCTTTATTGCTGGAAATCCAGAAATATCATAGTAGTTAGACAATCAAGGGGAGACAGACGTTTTAGGAATATAGCATCGGTTCTTGCACTTCACTATTCTCTTCTTATAATTTAGCTTATCTGAATCACCAATGGAGTGCTTAGACAATCACAGAAAGTAGAATCATAATTCACAGATGCCAATTAGAATTTAGCTTAAATTTCATGGTTTATGACATTTCTTATTAAGGATTATATCTCAAAATTTTTAAGCTAAAATCTAAGAATCAATAGATTTCTGCCAAAACAACATTAGTAATTACAATTCGGAAATCTGTCATTTCCAAGTGTTAAGTATCTGATTTATGATTTAACTGCACTGGCGAACTAGAAACAGTAAGAGCATAACAAGGGTCTGTAATATAGTTCCAAAGACTTTGGATCAACTTTCTCATATTAATGTGTTAATATGTTAATTTTTAATAACAGTACTTCTGCAGTTTCAAGTGATGTTCTTCTCATAAATAATTATTATCTGATTCAATTTTCTGTGAAATATAGGGGTTTTGGGGTTTTGGGGTTTTGGGGTTTTGGGG